AGGGAACACCATCTGCATGAAGCTTTGGCTGCAAGCAAGGGTCAGAGGCTGAAAAGGGAAAAATCGCGGATGGCTCAAACAAAAGACACAATAAGACAAGTATGCCTGCCGGAGAACATTGGGCGAGGAGAGGAGAGGCTCAGAGAACCAGCGGAAAAGTCTGACCCGTGTAGGGTAATGATAACATTGGGCCTGGTATGCAGAGAGTAGCCAGCGGGTGCTACAGAGGCTGAAGTACAACAGAAGAGTCACGACAATTCACGGCCAGTTAATCTGGTTATCTATACAGATGGTTCTGTGCTGAGAGGAAAGAGAAGTGCCTGGGGGTTCGTAGAGAAAGCCAATGGAAAATTGTTTGTGTAAGACAGCCTAGCATATGACACCACAACATCTAGCATGAAAATGGAGGTGGAGGCGGTAATTGCAGCTCTCCTGTGGCTAGAGAACAAGATGCATACACATGTCGTAATTGTAACAGACTCTGAAAGCATGCTAAAGAAGGTAAATGCTTCGAGCAGAGTGGCAAGCTTCACTGGAAAGGTCATTGGTAGTGAGCATACTTTGGATCTTTTCTCAATGCCATGCCGACGTGGTGGGCAATGAACAGGCAGACAGATTGGCTGGATCTGCACCACTGGGGGGTGAACTGATACATGACATGGCAGGTGACCAAGGCCCGTTGGGAACAAGCAACGGAATCAGTAGAGAAAGAAGATTATTATGGCCTGGAGCGAATCAGGCACCTGGCTGTAACCAGAGGGTCTGACCGGCTCACTACACTCAGAGGAAAGGCAAGACAGACATTTAACTAGATTGTGACCGGTACCATCAGTATTGGAACTATGTGCTAGCTACTGAAGATGAGTACATGCATAGGAATGCCCCAAGGCTGTGATGTCAATTCTTGACACAACTCAACTCCCAGAATGTTATGACACAAGATCTGTTATTTAGATTCAAGTGGGGATACGGGAGGGGAGGGGGGATGTTTAATCCAGACTTGACAACAAGAACAAAATAACAACATGTGTCGTTAACTGCAGCATTTTGTTTTGATATGGAAATTTTTTTTTTTTTTAATATTCTTAAGATTATACTCGAATTTTTCATCAGAGGTTAGAATTAAAAGCTTTTCTTTTCCCCCTCCTTCGTCTCCCCTTCCTTCTATACGTTCTTCTCTCTTCCTTAATCATCTGCTTTACTCCTTTACCCATCCCCCTCTCCTTTTCATCCTCTACTTCATTCGTCTAATACTTTTGGACGTAACTACACTGTACTTGTTTGCAGCAAAACTGCAATAATTGCGTCTTTGAGCCATCACAGCGAACCACTTGGGACATGTGATCACTAGGTTGCAGTTTATCCCTTCGAGAATTGCAGTCCCCGGAAGTAACACCTCAGGGATGAGAATACTGCATGTACAAATCCTTGTAAACAATGTTTCAACCTTAAGGTTGTACTGTGGCTTCCCGCTGTTACGAAATAATCTGAAGCCCAGATCAGCGAGGATTTTGACTAGGTTAGGTTGCTTAGTTTTCCAAATGTCTAAACGTTGTCTACATAAACACCGCACTGTTTGCTGTTGTATTTTTGCAGTAAAAAAAATCTCCCAGCAAAGAATTTGAATGATAGTTCTCGCCCATACATAACTTATAATGATGTTAGTTGCGTATCCTTTACAGGACGTTGCAGAACCAACACTAGCTGTTGTGTGGTTTTTCTAGGCACGTTTACGTCCAGTAGACCCAGCCTAAATTGGGTACCAGGATGGGCTGTTCCTGGGAAAGTAAAGACAGCCGGCGTAATGCTGACCACATTACCCACAGAGTGCTGACGGTCTGTAAAAATATGGGACGCTCTGCCCATATGCCCGATGCGCTGAAAAGCATGAAAAGGGAACTTTACTTTACTAGTCTGTCATTGCTTTCTGGACGGTCGGCTTTCTTGATACCACTGTCGAAACAAGGCAAGGCGCATGGCCCACAGTTGGGATCGAACCCGGCATCCCGGAATTAGGAAGCGCTCGAATCGACTTAGCCACAGAGCCGACATAGTTAGTTGTGCATCCTTTACAGGACGTTGCAGAACCAACTCCAGCATTTTTGTTGGCTGTTGTGGTTTTCTTAGGCAAGTTTACGTCCAGTAGTTTGCCATTGCTTCTGGGCGGTCGGCTTCTCGATACCACTGTCAAAACCAACGCAAGGCTCAAGGCCCGCAGCTGGGATCGAACCCGGCACCCTGGCATTGCAAAGCTCGTTCGCAACGCCTAAGCCACAGACGCCGATTATAATGATGTACCACACTAAAAAGCCTACACAGTCAGGGTTAGCCAACCACCACGATAGGGTCGTTGCGAAGGTCCCCCAGCCTGTCCAAGGGTGTCCGGTAAGCTAGCCGAGGCAAAGACATGCCTCTCTTCTTCTTTGCTAAGACAAACATTTGAACAACTGTATAGTTTTCTGCAAGAGATAATAGAAAATTTAAAATAAAATAACACTAAAAACAGTATTAAACTTGTGTATACTTTTGTTTTGTTTCCAAAATTCAGCCCTCATCAACGGTGTTTAATAATGGGTAATATGGAATCAACTACTCTCCCCTGTTTCCAGTTTCCGGAGTGCAAACATATCGAAGCATGATGAATCTTTTGATTTTATTACATTTTACAGTTCATCAAACCCAGGAAGCTCGAAGGAGATGACAAACCTCTGAAACTCGTAATTGAACATGGCAGACGGCGTTTCGATATTACTCTGAAACTCGCTGACAATGAGATAGGAAGTAGGATCAGTTTGCGTCATCTAGCAGAAACTGTCTATTGCCAGACGGGGATTATGCCTAAAGAACAGAAATACTATTATAAGGGGATCACGTGGGAAAATCCGGAAATGGGACCTTGGTCCCCGTCATTAAGATCTCTGGGTGTGAGAAACGGCGACAAGTAAGCTCTCCAGTTTTATATTTGTCTTTTGTTCGGTTGTTATACAGGTGTTGTACCGCTGTCTGTTGTTTTCTCTTTGTTGCTATATCACAAATACTGACTCTATTATAAACTTCAATTTAGGTGCAAATTCATTACTACTCTACACGCATAGGACAAACATTTTTTAAATCTCATCTTTCCTCCCTCTCCTCTGTATATTTATCTTTTCTCACGTCTCCTTTTATATTTTCTTCTCTCTATCCATTCTATCTCTTACTTTTAAATGTAAACTATCTCGTTTCAAGAAGATCTCTGGGGGAAAAGTGAGACTTGCCAGTACGTGTTCCTGAGCAGTAAGAAAAAAAAAAAAAAAAAGAATGTGTCTTCTTTGGATGAAACGAAATATTAGGTCTGTCACAACAGGCATTATATAGACAGATACCGGTATATGCATGACAACATACAAAGATAAGGAGGAAGCATTTTTGCAAAGATTTATGGCACAAACTGACCGATGCTGGACATTGTTGTTTAGATATTGTCCTCCTTATATAAGACTGACATGTACTCTACAAAATGTCTCCGCAGTTCTCAATATGAGCAGTTACAATTACTAAAACCTAGCCCTTCTATGTGAATTTAGCTCCCCAAGAACGTTTTAAAATATATATCTCAAATCTGCCACCCCTGTCTGTTTCCTCTGAAACACTTGTAACACAGCCTACAAAGGTTCAAATGTACGCTGTCATGATATCACCTGACCAGTATTGATGAGCTGGGTTCTGCAAGCTGCCTCGGCAAGATACCTACATGTCCAGCTTTACTTACTATAACTTATCTTCTTCATACTAATGTAATCCTATATGCACCTTTCGAAGGTGAATTTGTCCCCTCTCCTTTAAACTCTTCCTCCTTCCTCTTGCCTTTTGACTTCTAATTCTACCTACAAATGTGCCCAAACACACACACACACACACACACACACACACATATATATATATATATATATATATATATATATATATATATATATATATATATATATATATATATATATATATATATATATATAGTTTCAATATAAAACATCTATTACAAACCCCACAGAGACATTTACAGATAAGAGAAATTCCCCTCTCAGAGCAGAAACTGCCAAAAGCTGAACCGGCCTTCGAATGCGCGGTATGCAGAAAACAATTAATCAACGCAAAGCATTGCCGGCTCAACGCATTCCTTATGGAGTAACAGATATGGGCACTTTTCGGCACTCGGCAACCCGCGCCAATCAAAGCTCATTCAGTGCTTACAGCGAGTTAACGCGTAGTCATTTAAACATACAGCAAGGCGAGAGACCTAATAGCAAAAACAGTTGTGTTCTTCGCCGACACTATACCAACATATCTTCAAGAAGCAGACATAGCAGAAAGCGTACCGGCTGTAAAAGGCAGCCCACAGACGATCCACCCGATCTATCTTGGCCTCCAAACAAACGGAAGAAACTACCGCCAAATCAAAGAAGGATGATGCCGTGGCCAATGGTGAGGTCCTGAGTGACTTTCCAGCGTCACACGAACCAGCACGTCCGACACCATAAACGTCACCAGAGAGCTAGAAGACCAGCAACCACGAGTTTCCTGCTCCCGTATTTCTTCGACAGACCGGCCTGGGCCGAGCATCAATCAGTGACCGCACTCACAACATTGACTTTGATCAACATTCTGGAGATCCTGCTGGGCAAAAGTGCGGTCGTGAAAATCAGGAGAACTCGAGAGGGCGTGATCACTACACTCAATAGAACCAACAGTACCTCAGGTATGCTAGATGACATCAAACAGAACGACAAGAAAGAACTCCGACTATCGTTTCTATGTATAACACTGATGTTTCTGTCTCTACAACATTCGAGTATGAGATGTTCAATTCTAAAATTGATTATTTCTTTTTTAGAATACAGCTGGTTTCTTTCCACCACGCCTACCCGGACTGGGAGCAAATTGCATCTCTGGAATCCGTGGACAAGGATATAAAAGATCTTCGCGGGCAGCTTAGCCGTGTGTTCTACCACGTGCAAGGGGTCAGTGATATTTTCCTTGTGGTGATTGTATCTGTAGTTTGCACATATTCAACGTTAAAGCATTGCTGTTTGTGTGTTGTCTACATTGCTTTTATGCCTATGAACATTTACATTAATGTTGTAGCTTGTTAGTTTAATTTGTAGGCGCTGCTCTGCTGTCGCTGAAACCTCAGTATCATTGCGTGTCTGTGTTGTCAGACCTGTAGGAAGGGGTAGTTTGGGGGTTGGGCCGCACTTAGTAGTATCACTAAGGGTGGGGAGGGGGGGAAGGGGTGGTAACAAAATAACAAACATGTTTCAACACATATAAATGTGCGTAAGTGTTTGCGTGTGTTTATATATTTGTGTATGTGTTTGTAAGGAGGTGGGGAGCAGGTACAGGAAACAGGTAATAAAAACACTAGTTCCCCTCCCCCCCCCCCCCCATGGACCGCCTATATATACACTAGCTCACATCTGATTGGTCGACCTTCAGCCTAGCTCATTTCTGATTAGTCGACCTCCAGCCACACGTCCTTGGCACAAGGTGACCGGGGCGTTCCCCCTCTCCCTCCCAGTGTCTTTGATATCACGTCTTCTATATTTCAGCATTCCAGCGCCTTTAACACTACAAAAACATCGAAAAACTCGGTCTAACACACAACCCCTTTAGAGAGTGATACAACTTATGTCACAGGCATTCCATTTATCGGAATAAAAAGTAAATGCAAGACATCACAGAAAGCAGACAATAGAGCGGCAAATTCATAACGTCCAGCAGGTTGAACCGGTCCAAGAAAATTATCAATGGAACGTGACCTACTCTCTGAGGGGAGACTAACATTTGTTTGACCAGGAAATATTTCGCACAAGGTACTACCTAATCTTGCAATGCCACTGTTTCTTGGTAGGATTTTGACTTACGAACTAGAAAGTGAAGGCAGCTTACCGAGGCAATTGTCATGCGGTTCATGCGCACTAGAAAAACTAAATTATTGATTTCCCGTCTGAAAGACTAACAGATTGTTTTCACTGTGACCAGTTACTGAAATCTCAGGGCGGAAAAGTCCTATATGTTGACTTACGACAATTTGTCCAGTTTGAAATTGTTTCTTTAGTTGTTTCTTTTATGTGTGTTTTAGCAGTTTGAGATATTCATGTCTACGAATTCTGTGTATCTTTAAATGCTGAGTATGTACCTACTGAAAACATGATATGTCTTTGTTTTAAAACTTGTAGTCAATCTGTGAATTCTTTCTTCCTAGAGTCCTTTGTTTTACTTAGTTTTCTCATGGAAATACAAAAGTTCCTTGAGATAATATATCTACCATCAGCATTAGTTTTGTAAATGGCTAACCAGAATTGTAAATACAGCATAGAAATAAAGTAAGATCCTATGAGAAAGTGAGCAGCTAATAATAGTTCCCATCTGGAAACGGGGGAAAAGACTAATTCAAGTGAAGGGATCCGCATCTAAGTCGGCTAGGCTGGACAGGCAGGCTTTCACATAAAGCTAGATGTTGATTTAAGAGTCAACATCACAACGCTCGGGACACTCCCATAGCTGCTTTTCTTCACCTTCAGCAGCAATCGAAGAGTTCCAATTCCGATAGCACCAGTAATGTCTGGTTGTATATCCGTGTTGCCTTTCACTAGAGTGTTTCTTGAGAGTTGAGCGTCGGCCAAAACCCCCTGTTAAAACCTCGCAGCGCCATTCTCCTCGGATCGTAATGGTCTATTTGTAGTTTCGCGGTGTTTACTAAGACTGAAAAGAGGAAGCTCTTGGATAACGCTGGCTGAAGATACATTTAGACAAGTGTGTAGGATTGGTAAATTTAGGCAAGGAGAGTAGTAGGTCAAAGTCTCCGAGCGAGGATCACATTTATGTAGGGTTCTTATCACGTTAGGTCGCGGGTCCAAAGATCGAAGAGAAAACCGTGATGTATTTCTTTACGTTTATTGGCGATTCCCTAAGCTGCCCAGTCCGTCCTAGTCTACAGGGGTAACCTACACGCAGTCTTTTCTACTTTCTTGTCATCTGATCAACACAACCAACCACAGAACCTGCTACCGATAGTTTCTACTCCGAAATACTTCACAACACCATTTATACACAGTGATTATAGAAGCATCTTCAACACAATACACAAGCCCATTCATACAGTTGTTCCCTTTTTTTTTTAAGGATTATGCACAATCCGTCTTTGTGGTGTTATCCTCTCACTCGGAGCCCGATAGATATATTGCTCAAACATCTACCTCAGTGAAAACATTGCATTTGTGCAGCTCTTTCCCTTCCAGAAACAGAATTGTCCCTCACTTAAACGGGGTTCTTTTCCTAGTTGAGCTCTTAATTCCAGTATTTTAGTAAACATTTTTCCAATCCGGCTCAAGGTGAAGAGCCTGTCCATGTTTCATAATGATGTCTGTCTTCTTGATTCTTCCAAATGTGGACAATGATTTCTCTCTTCTAATCAGCTGGGACCCTCCACGCCTCACATGCTACTTTAAAATGAAATATCCTTCAGCCGCACCGGATTGCAAGGCACACCACAGGGTTTAGTCTTCACATACATCCTTATTACAACATCAGTGGAATTTAAACACGGTGTATGGGTTTTTGCTGTGTGGTTAACTATCCGGGATGCGAATTGTAGGAAGTCTCAGGGGAATTCAAATCATCGATTTGCAGCCTATGGTGTGGGGCAACGTAGGGCGGTGAGATATAGATAAATGTGGAAACTGCTGTCTATTTTATTTCCAACCGATTTCTGAACATAACTATCATCAAATGATAAATCAAACTATAAGTGCGTTTGAGCTAAAGTATTCAAATATATCGATATTCGAAAATTTCTAGACCGGAGTCTAAAAGTCATTTCCTCCATCCCATCTATTTTCAAGATGTATTTGCTATCTGACTGACAACCAGTTCCGTTGCGGAATAATTGTTGCAACAAATAGCACTGCATATGGAGAGCCCATTCTAAAGACTTTTTAAAACTAAATGTCTCGTGACAAAAATGATGATGAAAGATGCAAGAACGAAACTTCAATATCTATATGACAGTTTGCTTCTAATGACATATTAAGGTGTTCTGGGAATACTATGCCAGCCGAATTTCTTTACAGACCAGTCTATTCTAACTGGATAATGTCATCAAAATCCTGCCAACCGTCTTTACTTTTCATTTTCAAAAAATAAAAATAAAAAACTAACTGAAATAGTAAAATGATTTGCTACTTTAATTATTTTTGTCTTTAATGTTACATCTGATTGATCTGTTGCTGGTGTCTTTAATATATTTGTCTTTTCATAAATTATTTGTAGTTTAACTTGATGCTATGTTTGCTAAATCAACTGCCTTATTTTGCATGTCATTGTTGTTTCTATTCCACTTTTGCTGTTATGTGGCGTGGGGAAGAACAGTTTGCGATCCATTTCTTGATAGGCAGCATTGGCTGTTGTCATTCCGTGTCGACGTTGAAGCTCTTTAGTATCATCAATCCATCAACCTCTTGCTTTCATGTCTCATCTTTTCATATGTACTGCCTGTGGTGGTAGTTGTTCTGGCTACATTTTTACAAGATAACCAAACTAACTTGAATAGTTAGAATATTAGGTGTTCTACTTATTTTCAGAATTTCTGAAGATCAGCATCACCAAAACAGAAATTTTGAAAATAAGTAGAACACCTAATATACTAACTATTCAAGTTAACAACGAACAACTCAAACAAGTGCAGCAATTAAATATTTGGGGAGCATCTTCACAAAGGATGGAAGAATTGATAGGGAACTTGAGGCAAGATGTCAAAAGGCGAACGCAGTAACTTACCAACTCTCCCCACTGCTAAAAACACCCAAGCATCACTATGGCACTAAAACGACAACTGATAAATTGCATGTTTATACCAACCCTCTGCTACCAATGCCAAACCTGGTCCCTAACAAGAGCACAGGAGAAAAAGATCACGACGTGCGAAATGAGATGCTTACGTAAGGCTGCCAATGTCACAAGGAGAGACAGAGTTCGAAACGAGAACATTAGATCAATTGTAGGAACCACACCATGCCTGCAATACATAAAGAAGCAACAAATAGAGTGGTTTGGCCACTTGATGCGAATGCAAACCGACCAACTGCCTCTACGAGCATACAACGAACAGCACTACTGCCCTAGAGCAAGAGGCAGACCGAGAGTACGATGGATAGACAATATATCAGAGATCCTGAGGCAACACGGACTAACAACAACACGTGCAACACACCTGGCCCAGGATAGAAAACTGCGACTCCCCACTACGCTGTGAGGCAATTGTGGACAAGACAAGACAAGACAAGACCAAACCATTTTATCTGCTGTTTCTCAATGAATTTGCGAAATGGTGCTGTCCATAGGTATATCTGATAATATCACTGCTAACTTTGTCTCGGATGGTTAAGTTGGCATGTCATTTCACAGTTCATTTCTTTACGTACGAAATGTAAGAAAGAGCGAAAGAACGAACAAATTAATGAATGAATGATTTAACAGAATCTTTAATCCATTTTGTATCATTGACAAAGAGTTGCGCACCTTCCATAGAAATAAAACGAACATTGAATGCGTTTTAGCACTTGAGTTGAATGCACTTTGTGTACACACTGTCTTTTTTGGCATTAAATTATAACATCAACGTGACCAAGGTTCAAACAGTTTAAAACAATACTACTCATTAAAAACAAAATTACATTATACATTTTTGTAAGCTGAAAAGAGAGACAGTTTATTGGAATTAAAAAGAGGTCAGACATTTATTTAGAGATCTAAGAAGTAGTAAGTAAAAGTGAAGGTCCCTTTTGCACGCATTTAGGCGTATAGGGCAAATAATAGGGCTAGAAGTATATTTTTAAAGACCTATCGGCACAAGGTGGATGATGTGGTCAGCATCACACCGGCTGCCTCTACTTCACGGGACTGCACCCGGTACCCACTCAAGGCTAGGTCGACCTGGGAGTCAAGGTCATTTTTGAGGATC